AAATCTTCACAGGAGCCGACAGCCTTGTCCTGCTCTGGGGGCGTGGCTGGTGGATTTGCACTGATGTCCTCACCATCAGCAGCCCCACCCTTAACATACAGTGGCACCAAAGTAGGAGCCTCCTCTTAGGGGATCACAGGGAGTTGGATTGTGGGATGAAGGCACTATTTGGTAACTGTCGGACCCTAAGGTCACCAGTTGAAAGACACCAGCAGCTCTGAAAAGAAATATGTGGGCTTTTTCCTCCTGTAAACGTGTACAGCCTTGGAAACCCATAAAGGGTCTCCATGAGTCAGAAGGAATTTAATGGCAGGGAGCTCTATCGTGGGAAAGATAATGGTGAATAGGTACTTATTACTCCATGTTCTAATTTTCAATCAGTCCCCCAATGTTTGGTCTTGTGCTTGTCCCATCTACCCTCTTATAGGGAGATCTGGGCCGTCAGTCTGTTTTCTCTTGTCCTGGGGAGAGGGCACTTAGTCTCCCCTGAAGCATACAGTTTTGCTTTCTGTCTTCTGTCATTTAGTTATTTCAAGCATTTTTCTTCTGCTTCCATCTTCTATCCTTTGATTTTGAGTGTCCTTTAAAAATATTGTTTATTTCCTAATATTCTTTCTATAACTCTTTTATGGGATTTGGGGAAATGGAGGAAATAAGTGATTTATTAATCAGCCACATTTAATGGGAGAAATTTTTACTATGTTATGGATTGTGTTTTTTAAAATAATGGCATAGCATTTTTGTCATAAAATCATGAGCACTTTATAACAACTTCTATCATATAGAAATACTTATGGTATTAATGTTTATAGATGTAATTTGATAAACCCCACCTCTTAATGTATATTGAGATGATTTAAATTGAAAAAATATGTTTATAACTAGAGCTAATACTGTGGAGAACATTTCTGTGCATAGATTCTGATACATTTTTTGTTTTGTTTTGCTTTTTGATGTTTGCTTATGTTTACCGGACTATGCAAAGGTTGCCAGTTGTGTGCATCGTAACAGACAAACAACTGATTGCATTTAAAAGAATGGGAAATCCAGATACTTAATTACGCTCATCTAGGACTTGTACATAGACCACAGGCAGTCTTTCAAACAGAAAACGGGATACCATGTGATTTATTATTTGTTAGTGGTTTATTTTAGTTATTTATTTTATTTCAATAAATCATTTTATTGGGGGCTATTACAGCTCTTATAACAACCTATACTTCAATTGTATTCTGGTATATTTCTTTAGGGTAGACACCTGATGTGAAGTGACTAGGATCAAAGAATATGAGCATTTAGAAAAATAATGAAGAAAAATTAAATATATACAGAAGAAAAAGACAAAAGTAATAAATACCATGCATCTATCACTCAACTATATCATTACTAGTTCAGGGTCAGTCTTTTCTCTAAACCCTTACCCACTACCTTCCCCTCCCTCTATAACTTTGAAATAAATGACATCTTTTTATTTCCATAAATATTTCACTAAGTATTTCTGAAAGATAGGAGCTCATTTTTAACAATATCACCCCCCCAAAAAAATCCCCAAACTTAAACAACATTAAACAAAAAAGACACAATTTGAATTTCTCAAAGATGCTCACATTTCACGTTTAATGTTGTATAAACCAAAGACTGCAGATTCCTTCAGGGAAGTTTTAGGGAGACAGACCATGCCTTTGGAAGTGTACACATCCACTTGGGGGGATATGAAGGGACACAATAGCGTCACATTTTGTTGTTTTGTTTCATAAAGATTTTTATAATTTTAGCAATCAAATAGTATATAAGGAAATCATGTACAGGTATCGACGGAGTGCACACTCCTTGAACAACTCAGATCTATAGTATTCCTATTGCTTATTATTCCCGATCTGCTGATCACTCTCAATTCATTACCTTTGTCCGGAGCTCCAGTAGTCAGACTCCAG